AATAGGTTGAGAGTTTTAGACCACATAAATCTTTTTTTGACTTTTTGATATTTTATTTATTTGTTGATCTCTATTTTTTTTTTTTGTTTCAAGCTATTTTTTTCCTTTCAACAATTGTATCATGATTAAAATTTGTAATTTCTCTAATTTTTATTCAAAAACCTAACAAAAACTGCTGTATTGTCCTCTGCTACTGTGTTTGTACATAATGCTCATGTGCTCCATGTCCCACATCACATGCCTTGTGTGGTGCATTTGCTATGCAAAGTAGGTAGGTACCTGTATCTGTAAACTGGATGTGTACTCTCGAGAGCCAATACATTCTGACCACGCATCCATCTAACATCCCAACGTTTATACGGGGAAAAAGTACTATGCATATTCTGCATATATCAATTTTTTTGTTAGGACGATTAGAATTTGCCTTTTTTCCTGCAAGAAGATGATCCTTCAAAAAAACCGAAGAAGGTAGTGGATGTTGGCTGCGGCATTGGAGGCAGCTCCAGATATCTGGCAAAGAAGTTTGAGGCTCAATGCCAGGGTATTACTTTGAGCCCTGTCCAAGCACAGAGAGCACATAATCTTTCTGTTGTTGAGGGGCTGGCAGACAGGGTACGCGGATAATCCCTTTTCCATCTCCTTTTTGGGTCTTTTACTTTAATGATAAGACCAAGCATAGACTATTATTTTAGAAGCCTATTAATTATTGACATTTTTCGTATACTTGGCTGGTAATATGAGAAAGAAGACGCTGATTTACTTACTATTCACAAGCTGGAAACAGGTAACTTTCCAAGTTGCAGATGCTTTGGAGCAACCTTTTTCTGATGGGCAGTTCGACCTGGTTTGGTCCATGGAAAGCGGAGAGCATATGCCGGATAAGAAAAAGGTAACAATCTTCGAGTATCTGAGAGTACGTGCCCTCGAATTACTTGCATCATGCATGAGATGTTGATGCAATTTAGCTTGCATTATTTTACAAAAAACTTTTACAACTCAGTGATCAGCTTGCCATATGATTTCTCTTGGAGGCTCCTCGTGGATATTTATCTAATTAGCTTGACTTATGTATCAGTTTGTAGGTGAATTGGCACGTGTTGCAGCACCTGGAGCCACGATCATTATTGTGACATGGTGTCACAGAGATCTCCTGCCATCTGAGGACACTCTGCTGCCTGAAGAATTGAATCTCTTGAACAAGATATGTGATGCCTATTACTTGCCATCCTGGTGTTCAGCTGCAGACTACATTGAAATAGCTCAATCCTTATCGCTGGAGGTAATTACTTTCTCAAACGACAACAGAAAGAACCATATGGATCATGGTTTGAGTTGGTAGCTCATTGGTTCTCATGATAATGCCCAAATGTACAGGCTTGTTGATGTAATGACGTGTATACTTATCATACAAACGCTCGTTGCTATGTTGCAGAACATTAAGACAGCTGATTGGTCGGAGAATGTCGCACCATTTTGGCCTGCTGTCATCCGATCTGCCTTGACATGGCGGGGCTTTACATCTCTGTTGCAAAGTGGTAATCTCCACTCCCACCATATTAGGTATTCTGGTAACATGTTGTATCACCTTCAGTATATCTAACAGCTGCGGTTTTCCAGGATGGAAGACGATAAAGGGAGCACTAGCGATGCCGCTGATGATCGAAGGCTACAACAAGAAGCTAATTAAATTTGCCATCATTACGTGCCGTAAACCAGAATAAGTATGGTAGATCATAAAGAATAAGCAGGTTATGTTTTCTGATACAGAGGATAGCTGTTGATCAGATCTAGCACATTTCATCTAAATTCGCTTTTTCCACGGACCTTATAATTTTAATGTGAGATGTTGAGCTCTTATTTATACATGTTGACAGAGTCGAAAGTCCAACATGAATGTGGTCAAAGGAGGCATCATTTACTTGCACTTGTTGCCACCACCATCTGCTTTTACGAGCATATATATAGATTTCCACTGTTTTGGGTAGCGGACTTCATTCTCCAACACATGCTGATGGTGAGAAGTCCGTTGCGCCTCATTAAGATGCGAACGAGCATTAAGAGGAGGAGGTCGCAAGTCATCCTGATGGAACAAATTTAATTTTTCTGTAGTTTCACATCAGTAATTGAGACTATTAGCTAAATCATACAGAGATATCGTAGTGGGGGGTTGAAATAATTTATCTTTTTTTTAAAAAAATATTTATTTTTAGTGACGGATAAAAAATTAAAATTATTTATTTTTAGTGACGGATAAATCCTATGGTCGTCCAAATGGATATATTCTGAAAGTTTATCGGGTTCCTATTTGTACTTTTGGCCCTAACTACAACAACTTATTGTGACAGTAAACCGTCTCTGGGGGCATAAGCGGCGCGACGATCGATGAGTGGTGACCCAAAGCCATACCCAAGCAAAACACTCGTTCGCTCCTGGGATTTGATTGGTGGCTTTGCTTTCTTTTGAAGCCCTCCCCTCCGCCGCTCCGATGGCCGTGCAATCATCGTCTCGCCCGGCGCCACCGCCACAGCCCGAAAACTTACACCGTGTCTTGTGAGCGTTACTTTGGATTTGGGTGCGAAATAGATGAGGAGATATCTAACAAGCTCGAAGGTAATCGTATAGTCTCCTTCTTGGAATTAATTTTCTTCCTTTTTCCCGTTTAGTTGCTGCTGATAAATGGAAACCTGTGTAGCTCAATCTCAAATAAAATCATCCGCATCGGTCTCTGCCAATTCACGAATTTAATTCATTCCAAGAGATTTCCTTCCCTTCTAAGTGAGAAGCATGATCGTTATCGAGTCGATACTGAGAAAAAGAACCTTTTATTCGGTTGAGGTTTTTCACATTGTAACAGGTGTTTGTGTTTCTGACAGGTGTTCTGTTTGTGCTTCCAGATTCCTATGTTGATGCTGAAAACAGGACTATGGAGGTAAGCTTACTGGTTTCTTGTGAAGGGTTGCATTCTTATGCTTTGCTAGGTATATGTACATGATCACTTAGTTTTATTTTCTGATAATTATTCTAGCTTATTTTTGTTTTTTCTTCTTCTGTTGTTCCTATAAACAAAATATTTTCTTTTCTTCCTCAAGTGAGTGCAATGCTATGCCAGCTTCTGTAATTTTGATGCTTTCGAGGAAATAACACACTATTGAAAACATGTTGCTTGAAATGAAAAGTGCACATTGGTAAAATTAAGTGGTTCTACGAGGCAATTTTATAGCTTCAGATTATAATGGACTCGTTAACATTCTTTTTTATGGTTACTGCATTTCTATATTTAGGGAAGTTGCAAATAAAGACTTGAATATTTGCATGAATATTGTTTGTTTGTGTGATTCTTTGTCAATAATCAGTATAATACTTGAATGAAGATGATCGATTTGCTGTATTTAAATGTTTAGTATTATTCTGCATTATGGTGTTAAACTTGCATGGTTTATCTAACTGATGATGATGGTCAATCGATGATATTGCATCAAATTCGTGTCACGAAAAAGTTCTTCATTTCTTTAATTAGGTGGGAACTTGCTAGACATTTTATGTTTTACTGCTGCTTCATATTAGTAGAAAATGCCAGTATGTGCTGTATGTAAGGTGATTCACAAAATTTCTCCCTGAAAGAATTATCTCATGCAACGTACTATTATCGCACTTCATGCATCTTTAAAAAGCAGATAGATGAACAGATGCTGGAGTACCAAAAGAGAAATCTCTCTCGTTTTGCAGTTGATGGTAAAAAACCCAAAACTTTGTTCTGCTGTTTCAATCTCTGTAGACACATTCTGTACCACTTAAATACAAGTCACTCCTGCAAGGCGTGCTAACTCTGTGAACCAACAATAGCATTAAGGTTGAAAGAAGCCACTTGGCCGGCTTCACTCAAATGATCTCCAACGAGGTTGGTAATGAATGCCAAGGAGACTAGATTTTTTTCATCCATCTCTGTGTCAAGGTTGTATACTTTTTGAAGCTCCATCACTTTGGATTCTAGAGCTTCGGCCTCTTTAAGTAGTAAGCTGCCTTCTTCGAGGTCACCCATTTTAAGAGCAACAGATCTCTCAGCCCTAGCAGCTGCAGCAACTAATTGGAGCCTGTTACAGCCTGCCAATGCTGCCTCTTTTTCCTTGAGCAGAACCAACTCTTCGTTCTTCTGAATTGTTTCCACATTGCTTCCGATCTCCTCCTCTAGCTTTTCTAGGTGTAAAACAGCCTTCTCCTTCTTATGTTGCAAGTCTTCCTTTTCAATATGTAATGACTTCGCCTCAGCTGCTACCCTCCCGGCTTCCCTGAAATTTCTAGCAGCGGCAGCAACTTTCTTTTCAGCCTCCAGCTCGGGCCCTCTCTTCTCAATAAAACCTATTCTTTGTTTATACAAAGTAACCTCCTGTTGGATGCTTGCCCTAGTTGAAGATAGCTCCTATAAAATAAAAACTCAAAAAGTTTTGTTAAAGGACTTAACATGACACATTGACAGGAAAGAGAGTTGGATAAGATGTTAAATTGTATGAATAAGATGTTCATTAAGTAAAAACTTTAGGTATCTTATATTAATTATTCAGCAAGATGAAAAGATTGATATTCATGGTATAAAGACAAGATGGTTAAAATGATAAGAAGCGCCAGGAGTTTATGATCGCCGGATACTTTTAAGATTAAAAAAAAATTATAATACAATTATGAGACCAACAAATGTTTTATGATTCTGTGTATTGGGTAGTTAAAAAATAATATATATAAAAAATTTGTGTTGTTGAGATGAGAATGTTGAGATAGATGTGTGGAGTTACCAGGAAAGATAAGAAAAAAAATATTTTTATTCGTGAACAATTGGGCATCGTTTTGATAGAGGGTACGATGAGAGAGAATCATTTAAGATGATATGAGCATGTACTTATGAGACCTATGAATGCGATAGTTAGAATAAGCGAAATGATTAATGTTAGTAGTAAGAGGAAAGACAGAGGAAGACCTAAAACGACTTTAATAGAAACTTTAAATAAAATTTTAAATACTCTAAACTTAACTAAACATATGATTTTTTACAGATCTTAATGATGACAAAAGATTCATATAGTCAATCCCAAATAGTTGGGACTTACGACTTTGTTGTTGTTGTATTGGAAGGAAAGAGAGTGAAACAAGATACGCAATGATGTATACATGTTATTAGAAAATCCATATATTTTCTTGTGTGATTTAGGAGTTAATGGAACCCGACAAGCGCTGCCTACTTTATACAGACTGGCCGAAGGGACATTTGTGATACATTTAGCACAAGGACCAGGCTTGGGCTTAAAATTTGTGCTAGGATAGTGGTATGGAAAGAAAAGATACTTCCATCCTAAAAGTTCTTTTGGAAAGAAAGTCATACATTACCTACCATATTGATAGTAACTAGACATATTGTAGCAGAATTTGTACTTGCTACTATAGATTTGGAAGAGTTTGGGATTGAGGGGTGGTTTGGGCATAGACCTAAATTATTTTGTGGACTTTGGATGGGATATGGTCGCCAAAGAACATGTGTTGGCTGGACCACACCTGAGGTGACCATCATCTGAGTTAGGCCATGGTCAATGAGCTTGAAAGGAGACTACATGTATGGAGAAATTTCTATTTCTCAAGTATTTTGTTCAGGCTAATTGCCAAGTAATGACTAACCTGTAGAGCAGTTCTTGCAGCTGAAATTTCTTGTCTGAGTATCTGAATGTCTTCTGATATCTTTTCCTCGGTCTTTGAGTACCTCACTCTGTCCTCTCTTGATTTCAAAATGAAAGATGCCAACTGCTTTTTCAACTGAAGCAAATCCTGACAAGTTTTTGCTTCATTGGAGGCAATGGCTGAAAGTTCTATTAGCTTTCTCCTCTTCTTTTCAGCTGAAGAGATAACTTCATCAATTTCCTCCTTCCTTATCAACAATGCCCCATCTTCAGATTCTACCTTGAGAAAGGCTTCCTGCAATGTTTTATGCTTCATGTCAATAATTGATTGTGTCTCATGAAACTTAGAAGCCACATTAGATATTCTGTTGTCAACATCTTGTATTTGAGACTTGTTTTCAGCAATCTCTGCCTCCTTCAGCCTGACCAATTCTAGTAGTTCATCCAACTCTTTTTCCAAAATGACACCTTTTCTTGCCAGCATTTCTTTTTCTTCCCTCTCATTTTTAACCAGGTCTTCTATTGCATTTTCCAATCCTGAATGTGCTTCAGATATTAACTGTAACTCGATATCCATCTCTAGCTTCTTAACTTCTAACAATTCAACTGATGATTGCCATTCTTCTATTTCTTTACAAGATGTTTCTTCTGCATTTTTAAGAATTGATTCTGCACAATCAGCTGCATCCTGTGCAAAGGGAGACAAAAATTGCAGAAAACCCATCATTCTTTTGGTTCTTGTTTACTAATAGAAATGTAGAAGCACAGGTAAAGGGAGATGGAACAAGGAACAAATGCAAATTGATTCTCAAAAACATACACCATTAGCTGTTCAGGATAGATGATTAAAGAGAATCATACTTATGCAACACTGGAAACCTCATGAGAATAAATCTTATTTAGAGCCTTAAAAAATGAAGACATATCAAGGTGTGTGAGTTGACAGGACAAAGTATGACAACTGGGGTTAGCAATGGACAATATTTTCTTATCTCCTTAAACTGTTAGAAAATATCCTATTCAAGGCCTGCAAAGAGGAAGGCATATTTAGCCATCTGCATTATCCAAACAATGAGGAATATTGAGTTTGGAGATGGACGAGAACAAGTTGTATGATATCCTTCTAAAATGTTCCTAAAATTTAAGGGACTAAATTCCATTTGCAGAAATGATATGTTGAATACAGCACCGATGAACATTAGGAGGATCTTCATATGGCTGACATCAAAAGTGCATTTCTGCCAAAAAAAAAAAAAAACAACAACAATGGATTAAGGTACAACATTGAATTATGCTTCTGCAAATACAAACAAAGAGGGGCAATAGGTGCCTTGAATCACCTATTGCCCCTAGAACATTACTACAGAGTAGATGTCTATGTGCAAGAAAAAACATAACAAATAAAAGATTAGACCAAATCCATAACATAAAAGAAAGCGAATACTAGAGATCGAGAAGAATTGAAATGTGTATCTCGACTTATATGTATAACTTAATTTTCCCTGGATTTTGGATTAGTTACTCAAGAAGTTTCTTATCTATTACTCAAGAAGATTCTTATCTATCTTTCAATCGAGGTTCGAAGTTGACAATGTTACCTTAGCAAACTGTTCCAGCAGATCAATACATTCTTCCTCCACTGCTATTTGCAACTCCAGCACCTCCTGCATCTTCAATTCAGCTAATTCACAATCTGCCTCTGCCTCCCTCAACGAAAGCAGGAGCTTGGCCTTCTCCTCTTCCACGGTCATGAGGTTCTCACTGACACTCTCAGCCCTCTCAAAATCCTCGGCCTCACAGGCTAGCTCAAGATCTTTTTCCAGGTCCCTATGTTTGGTTGATGCTGCATTCACGCTCTCAACCGCCCTCCTCCGACTCCTTTCCAACTCCTTTCTCTCTGCATAAGCTGAAGCTGCTCTTTGCCGGACGGACTCGAGCTTTTTCGAGATCTGGGTCCTGACCAGCTGTAGTCTCTCTTCTGCAGAACCAAAGACGCCATCTCCAGTAGCCGATCCACCCGAGGAGCAAGTTTCTTCTTCTTCACCTCTTCCTTCCGTTGGGCGCTGGTCACCCTTGCCTTCTTTGACGACAGCTTCATTCGAGCTCCCCTCGTCCGCCTCTTCTCCGGGTTGTTCTAGAGATTTGGGGGGTGCGGGAATCAGATCGTCCTCTACAGCCGGCATGGCCGTATCGTGGTGTGCAGCGGAATCGACACTTGCATCATGTGGAGAAGTAAGCGACTCATCTGCCATCGACTCATTTGCCACCGCAATTGCTGTAGCGCCGCAGGAAGGAGGAGGAGATTTGTTACAAACGGGATCGGAGAGATGATGAGAATCGTCCGACGAGGCGGCGGCGGCGGCCGCCGTTTCCCGGGCGTACCCAATCCGAACGGCTCGTTTTTTCTTGCGGGACGGTTGGCGAGGTAGGAGGGCGGGCGGTTGGCGAGGCGAAGAGGGAAGAGGAGGCAGAGTTGGAGGAGGAGGATCGCGAAGGGTGGCGGTTGGGGATGGGGGGGTCTGAATAGTGAGATCTGAGAAGAGGTCTTCATCGAAGGGTTGGGATTCGGGCTGAGGTTGGGCGGCGGCGGCGGCGACATCGGGCGGCGGCGATGCAGCAGGTTGAGGCAGCGAGGGATCGGTGAAGGAAGAGGGAGTGAAAAGAACCATCCCATCGAAGAGGGAACCATTAAGAGACCCATCACCTCCGCCCTCCGACGACGACGCCATGAAAGAGACAGCGCAGGGGAAGCAAAGGCCAAAAGCAGTCGATTTGATGAATGTCACCGCGCGATCGATCTACTGTTTTAACGCCCCCATCATCCCAAGGACTTGCATATACGCGAAGGGGCGGCGCGTGGTGTGCCGATCTCCAGTTGGTTTGCTGAGGCGGAACGCCTGAACTCGACCCTATTCATCGACCCAGCTTCACCACCCAGGCGGAGGAACGGTGATGCTAAAATCGAAAGGTGGTGTCCAATAAATAAAAAAATAAATAAATAATTCAACGTGATGCAATGGGTTGATTCAGTTTAACGATCTGAACATAGACCCGATCATCCATCATGGTTGGCTAATAGTTGGTTACAACAAATTAACGTTTAGTACTAGAGAATAATGTAGAGAAAACAAAAAGATAAGTGGAGCAAAAATGTGAGAAAAAAAAATAATCTAAAAAATAAATAATCATATACTATGATATTAAAGCGCTGAATTAAATTTTTTTCAATGCAGTGTTTGAAAGACTTATGTTAAGCACTAAACTTATTCAAATCAATTAAATCATAAAAGATTGTTAAATGTTGGAAAATGATCTAACTTTTGTCAAGGATGATTTATATTATCATGAGATCTAATTAGGATTGATTCATAAAGGTTATCGATTTGATTGTAATATCGTTTTAGGGATCTGTGTGAAATTTTCAGGGGTTCCTTGTTTCTATCGTACTTTTTGAAAGCATTTTAAGACTTGGGAACGTGACTCTTGTTTGTAAGGATCATGTTCAAAGACTTTCTACTAACCTCGAATTTCTTCGAGGTGTCCTTAAGTAGCAAGTTTTCCTTTTGGATAGTTTCTAGATCATGACATTTTATACAAGAACCTAAACTATCATGATATTCAGTTTTTAACTTATCGAAATTACAAGTAAGACTATCATGTTCCTTTTTTAGCAATTTATATTTTCTACTAATAATTTTACATTCATCAAATAAGTCATAAAAGGCATTTAATAACTCATCAAATGATAAATCTGCATCAATTAAATTTGTTACCTCCTCTCCGATTGCCATTAAGGCGTAATGAGCAACTTGCTCGGTGTTTGACTCCTCTTCTTCGGACGCGCTCGAGTCATCCCACGTTGCTTTGAGCGCCTTCTTTTTTTATGTTCTCTTCTTGGCTTGGGGACAATCACTTTTGTAGTGTCCCGGCTTTTTGCACTCGTAGCAAATAACTTGGTCCTTTTTGGGTTCAAGTTTATTTTTTTTGTCATTTTTAAACTTGTTTCTCTTAATGAATTTTTTGAATTTCCTTGTTAGAAGTGCCAAGTCATCGTCACAGTCCTCATCACTTGAGTTTTCTCTCGAGTGGTCATCTAAAGTTCTAAGTGCCATATCCTTCCTGTTCTTTGGAAGGATGTCTTCTTGCTCTTCATGAGCCTTGCATGTCATTTCATAGGTCATTAATGACCCGATTAGTTCTTCAAGAGGGAAGTTGTTTAAATCTTTAGTCTCTTGAATAGCAGTGACTTTAGGGTCTCAACTCTTAGGAATGGATCTTAGAATCTTATTTACTAGCTCAAAATCCGAAAAACTTTTGCCGAGTCCTTTTATATTATTGACGACATCCGTAAAACGGGTGTACATGTCGCCAATAGTCTCGCTCGGTTTCATTCGGAAAAGTTCGAAAGAATGGATCAAAAGATTGATTTTTGACTCTTTCACTCTACTTGTGTCTTCGTGAGTCACTTCGAGTGTATGCCAAATATCAAACGCGGTTTCACAAACTGAAACATGATTAAACTCATTTTTATCAAGCGCACAAAATAAGGCATTCATAGCCTTTGCATTAAGAGCGAAAGTCTTCTTCTCTAATTCATTCCAATCGATCATTGGAAGAGAAGACTTCGAAAATTCATTTTCGACAAGATTCCAAAGTTCAAAATCCATTGAAATAAGGAAGATCCTCATTCGGGTCTTCCAATAGGTGTAGTTTATCTCATTGAACATGGGTGGACATGTAATAGAATGACCCTCTTGGTTTCCGGCGTATGCCATCTCTCTTGGGTTTTAATCCGTTTGAGATTTAACCCCGCTCTGATACCAATTGTTAGGATCAAGAGCACTAAGAGAGGGCGGAGGGGGGGGGTGAATTAGTGCAGCGGAAAACTTTCGACGATTAAAATCGCGTTCGTACGATAAGAGCGATTTCGATAGAAAATCCGATTCGTAAATCACTTTAACTTGTAATCAAGCAAGATGCAGTTAAAGCAAGTCTATGAAGGCAGTTTGCAGTTATGATGGAAATTAGAATGTAAGCATAAATTGAAATATGATGTTTGTATGATAAAACTGATTTACGTCTAAACACGCCGATTCGAAAAATACTGAACTTGAAACACGATCGTAAATGCGCAGAAGACAATAAGCTATTGAGGAGATTTGCAGTAAAGATAATATACTCAAAGTAAATGCAAACCGAGATTTAGAGTGGTTCGGTCAATCTTGACCTACATCCACTTCTGGCTTCCTCCACCGATGAGGTCACCGACGTCCACTAGAGCCCTTCCTTCAATAGGCGAAGGCCAACCACCCTTTTACAGTTTTACTCTTTTTGACGGGCTTAGGAGACAACCCTTACAGAATTTTCTTTTCTCTCTTGACAGATCAAAACTTGGAAGAAAAGAGGAAGGAGAACTTTTAACTCATACAACACTTTTTGAGCTCTCAAAAACACAAAGTAAGATCAGGATTTCGGTGGTTTTTGGTTACTCTGTCATTGCTGAAAGGGTGGGGTATTTATAGGCCCAAACCCAGTTTGAATTCCGAGCTCAAAACTGTTAATTCCCGAAATTTCGGGGTCTGGCGGTTGCACCGCCTGACTGGGGTGGTTGCACCGCCTGGCAGAGCTCGAAGACTGAGCCTCTGGGCGGTGCCACCTCCTGTCAGGGGCGGTTGCACCTCCTGCCAGAGCTCGGAGACCGAGCTCAAGCGGTGCCACCGCTTGACTGGGGCGGTTGCACCGCCCAGCCAAAGCTCGGAGACTGAGCTCAAGCGGTTGCACCGCCCAGCCAGAGCTCGGAGACTGAGCCCTAGGCGGGTTCACCGCCGACCCAGGCGGTGCCACCTCTGGCCAAGTAATCTGGGTCCGAATGGGCTGATCCATTCGGCCCAATTTGGGTCTTTCAAGGGCCCAATTGCCCCAAGATTAAGTTAATGGGATCACCTCCAATTTCTAACTTAATCATCGTGCTAACTACGAATTTCTTAAGGCATTTACTGCAACTTGCTCCGGTGCGTCAATCGCTTCTTCCGGCGAGCTTCCGACGAACTTCCGGTGAACATCCGACGAACCTTCGGCGATGCTCCGGCGAACTTCCGACAAACTCCTGGACTTGCGACGATCCACTTGGCGAGTTCCAATGAGCTTCTTTGGAAAGCTCTTGGACTTCTCGGATTTGTTCTCGCAGAATCTCCGACGACCGTCCGGACTTCCGTCGAACTCTCGAACCCCCAACGTGATCATATTCTTGACTCCGACGTAACTTCTGCTACATGTCTTACTTTCATCGTAGTTAATCCTGCACACTTATCTCAACATATGGATTAGATAACAAATGACAATTGACGTCATCATCAAAATCCGAGATTCAACAAGTACAACCGGTCATCAGGAGTGACAATTAACTTTACGAGGGCCATTGAGTGTTAATAGAGAATCATCCGCTCTAGGTGTCATGAGAAGAATATCCCATGTGTTCTTGCTCAGACAAATCCCTAGCTAGGGTCATTCAGATTGAGAGAAAGAATTCTCCAAGAGAATCCAATTAGAGCGAGACTCGAGTAGAAACCATATGAGTTTGATAGCACCATGCTTAATATACTATCTTTGGGATATTAGATGGATGAGGGGTTATAGATACACAGTAATTGAGGATAGATACATCCAAGGGATTGGATTCTCTTGTATCGTTTGGGGACTATGGCGTAGTGGCATAGTACATCTACAATCGATTAGTCGAGTAAATTATTATATAGATAATAATTCACTGAGCTAGAAGGAGTTCTGACAGGTATGACTTACGGCCAGCTTGATATTAGGTCTAAAGGGTCACACATATATGGTAGGTATTGCAACAAGTAGAGGTTCAGATATGAGATATCCGTCGGAGCCCCTATTTTATTGGATATCTAATAAGCCCTTGAATTATGAGATCCTATTGATGAGATCTAGTAAAAGCCAATGAGAGATTATTGGATAGAGATCCACTAATCTAAGAGGCTTGGGTAGTTGGATGAAGATCCAATACCTAATAGGGCAGGATCCATTAGGTTTAAGTTGATAAGGGGCCTCTATAATTCACTCGACTAATCGATTGTAGATGTACTATGCCACTACGCCAGGCTTGGGTAGTTGGATGAAGATCCAATACCTAATAGGGCAGGATCCATTAGGTTTAAATTGATAAGGGGCCTCTATAAATAGGAGGGAACCAAACACCCATAGGTTAGAGGTTCTCTTGGTTGCCACCTCCTATTCTCCTCTCCCATTCTCCTCCTTAGATAGCGGGTTTAGAGATTTGAGGAGCGTCGTTGCAACCTTATTGTGTCGATCACCGCTAGAAAGGAGGATGCTTGACCTCCTTTACCTTCTCCTACAGATCTGTAGGGATTCAGGGATATACGATCTCCCTAGGTAACACAACTATCTCATGCGTGGTTTTAAGTTTCACGGATTTTACACACCAATCTTCACACGATGACGAACACCTTTTTGGAAAATTTGGGGTTTTTGTTTTCTATTTTTTCATTACGCATGTGATGTCGCTCCCAGAATTCCCTATAATGGTATGAGAGCCAAGTTGTTCGTGCGAAAGATTGGTTTTGAATTATGCGTGTTGTGTTTTAGAAAAGCTTTTGACGTCAAAATTGTTGATGCAAAAGTGAGAGAGGGCCAAAGGCTGTTGCTGCCCTCGTAGGTAGCAGCCTTTGGCCGAGAGCTCCCAAGGGAGGTCTCGACCACCTACAGCAGGCCACTTGTGTGCAGGGGCCATAGGCGGTCGATAGTCGTCCGCCCGCAAGC